GGAGAGAAGAGAGAGGAGGACAGACAAGAGAGAGACAGACAGACAGAGAGCAGACAGACAGACAGACCATACATAAAGACAGACAGACACGTGAGCATTTTTGAAGATGACAACCAATTTTAAAATCAATTAAAAAGACTTTAATTAAAAATCAAACAAGAACAAAAATAGATATGTTCGCAGTTCTTTTTGATAATGAATATGATTGTTCATGTACCCAGATTTTTTTTAATTCTGATTAAAAATCTGTCTAAGATTTAATGACAGCTACGATAATCGATGTCAATATAAATGATAAAATTAACACACTACCACACTCATACTCACACACAGACACATACATACACTCATACAAAAACACACACACACACACACACACACACAACACTTACACAAACACATCACACACACATCACACAACAAGCACACACACAACACCCACAACACACACACACACACACCACACACACACAAACAAACAAACAAACACACACATGATCTCCATTAATTAAATAACACGTTGAGAGTAATTAAGCGAATTAAAAAGAAATAAAAGGGGAATAGATGAAGGAGAATAAAAAGATGGAAGAGGAGGATAAAGGAATGAGGGAAGAGGAAGGAGGAAGGAAAGAAGAAGGAGGAGGGGGAGTAGGGGTGGAAGGGGAGAAGGAAGTGGTTAACGATAATGATGATAATAAGAAATTGTATTGATAATAATGATAAGGGAAAGAAGAAAAAAGTGAGGAGATGAATGGGAAGATGAATAAGAAATGAGAGAATGTGAATGATAGATAAGAAGGAAGACGAAGAAGATAAGGAGGAATTAGTAGGCAGGAGAAAAATTGAGATGAAGGAGAGCAGAGAAAGAATAAAAGATAAGAAATAATAAATAGGATAGGAAAAAGGAGATGAGAGAAGATAGAAAAAAAAGGAAAAAAAAAGGAAATAAAAAGGAATAAAATGATAAGAGAAAAAATTATAAAGAGGGAAGAGAAGAAAGAAAAAACATAGAAAGACAGAAAAAGACGGAAAAGAGAGGAAGAAGAAGAAACATAAGAAGAAGTAGATAAATAAAGTGAAAATAGATAGACAAATAAAGAGATGATAATCAAACAAAGAAAAGAAAAGTGACATAGAGATAATTATCATTCAGTATTCACAAGAAGTAAAAAATTATAATTATCTATCTTTTACCATATAACCGACCCCCTCCTTTCCTAGGACCCCTCCTTAACCCCTCCTTGTGAGACCTGGACCCCCCTCTCCTAGACCCCCCTTGACCCCCTCCTTGTGAGACCCCCCTTCCTGGACCCCCTCCTTATGAGACCCCCCTCCTAGACCCCCCTTTTCTAGATCCCCCCCCCCTTTCCAGATTCCGACTCTCAGGAAACCGCTAGTCTGGTAGCCCCCTCTAGACCCTCTTTTAGACCCCCACTCCTATACCCTCCTCCTGGGTAGACCCCCCTCCTCAGTCCACTCCTTCTTGACCCCATCCTCAGACCCCCCCCCTCCTTCTAGACTCCTAGCTAGACCCCCAATTTCTGGACCCCTTCCCAGACCTGTCTAGAAACTCTATCAGACCCCCACTGCTAGACCCCTTCCTACTAGTGCCAACCTGGACCCCCCCTTTTAGACCCCATTCTCAGGCCCCCTATCTAGACCCCCCCCCCTTCTAAAACCTTCCCAGACCCCCCTTCACTCTTCTGGAACCCTGTTAGACCCCATTCCCAAGGCCTCTCCCATTTTAGACCCCCTCCTGCTAGCCCCCCCCCTCCCCAGACCCCACCTTTTTAACCTCCACTCCTAGACCCCCTCCTCCTCCCTTTACCCCACCTTTACTCTCCACTCCTAGACCCCCTCCAGTCCCCCCCTCCCTTTACCCCACCTTTTTAGACCCTCCACTCCCAGGACTCCCCCCTCCCCCTCCCCTCCTCCCTACCCTCCCCCTACCCCTCCCTCCCTACCCCCCCCCCTTCCCCCTCCCCCTACCCCTTACCCCTCCCCCCCCCCCTCCCTCCCCCTCCCCTCCCCCTACCCTGAGGGTGTAGAGGACCGAGAATAACCAATATTGATGGCTGGTGTTTACGCATATTTCCGGAATATATGAATAGTTATGTTTCTATATTTTTATTTGATTGATTTTTGTTCTGTCTGTTTGTTTGTTTGTTTGTTTTTTTTGTCTATGTTTTTTTGCCTTTTAGAGATACTTCTTTGTTTATTTATTTATTTTTACTTATTTGTTTATATCTTTCTAACTCTATTTTTCTCTCCCCTCATTCCATTTCCTTCCTCTCTCCCCTATCACTCTTTTTCTTTCTCTCTCGCTTTTTCTCTTCTCTCTCTCTCTCTCTCGCTCCTCCCTCTCTCTCTTTCTCTTCTCTGCCTCTCCCTCCCTCTCTCTCTCTCTCTCTCTCTCTTCCCTCTCTCTCTCTCTCTTCTCTCCTCTCCCTCTCCCTCCCTCTTCCCCCCATCTCTCTCTCTCTCTCTCTCTCACTCCAATGATAGCGAAATGAAGGTCAACACAAAACAACACAATGACACAAATAGACCTCCTCCTTCACTATTTTATCTCTGGTGATCCTTAATACAGCTTTTAGGCCTATGTCTGTTAGAGGTGAGCCGAAGCGAACGGTGGAAGAGAGAGAATATTGATGAAGTAGGTGGATGGGGAGGTAGATAGATCGGTTATGATAGGTTGTAGTGGGTGTGTGTGTTAGATAGATGGATAATCGTTTGTACATACAGACACATGCACACACACACAGACACTCAGGCACACACACACACACACACACACACACACACACACACATCAATATATATATGTGTATGTGTGTGTGTGTGTGTCTATGAATGCATATCATCAGTCATACAGAAGAAGTAATTGAGAAAGAGAAAGACAAAATCGAGAAAAAAGAAGAGAAAGAAAGAGTATAGAAAATAACCACAAGAAAAAAAATTGATTTGAGAACTAATAAAAAAAAAGAAAAAAGAAAAAAAAAAGAAAAAAATTGACTAAAACTGATCCAAGTTAAAACAAAATCGAACTGCAACAAAACGAACGAAATTAATTAACCCAAAACAATCCCCAAATGAATGAATCAGACACGAAGACAAATCCTCCTCCCCCCCCCCCAAAAAAAAAAAAAAAAAAAAATGGCGGAACGGACCACCAAACAATAACTCTTACTCTCTCACAAGTCTCTTTTATCTCCCACACAAAAGCCTCCACAGCACAACCGCCTCCTTCATCCAGACGTCCACAGATAGCTTATCTCACAAAGGCAGCGGAGAGGAGGTTGTTACGCACAAGACGGTGTCATTTCGGTGTCATTTCGGTGTCATTTCGGTGTCATTTCGGTGTCATTTTCATCATTCGGTGTCATTTCGGTGTTCATTTCGTGTTCGGTGTCATTTCGGGTCATCATTTCGGTGTCATTTCGGTGTCATTTCGGTGTCATTTCGGTGTCATTTCGGTGTCATTTCGGTGTCATTTCGGTGTCATTTCGGTGTCATTTCGGGGTGTCAGTGCGGGGGGTGGGGGTGGGGAGGGAGGAGGGGGGGTGCTTGTGCCCGAAGTGTTGTGTCTGCTTGTGCCCGTTTGGGGACGTGGAGTGGGAGGAGGTGTACATGTCTATATGTATGTGTATTACATACATACATACATACATACATACACATACACACACATACACACACACACACACACACACACACACACACACACACACACACACACACACACACACACATATATATATATATATATATATATATATATATATATATATATATATATATATATATATATACAATATAAATGCGTGTGCATAAGAGAGAGAGGAGAACGAGAAAAAAAAGAGAGAAGCAAATAGAGAGACAAGCAAATACAGACCGACACAGAGAAAGGCCAGAGATAAAAAAAAAAAATCACAAAGAGAATAATAAAACGGAAATCACCCCCCCACCCTCCCCACCCCCCTCCCCCACCACCCCCGCCCCCGCCAAGCCTTTCAGAGCGAGATTGAAATGAAGACAAACACACTCAGACGATGAATGACAAATACATTATCTCAAACGTCTAATCTCTCTATACTCCTCCTCCTCACTCTCTTCTTCTCTCTCCTCCCTCTCCCCTTTCCGTCTCCTCTCTCCTCTCTTCCCTCTCCCCTCTCTCTCTCTC